ATATGGAATGGTATATGTCAGTTTATTTATGTTAAAGATTAATACCATTTCACATAGAGAGGTTTCTAGCTTGTAAATAAAAACATAAAGAAAATTTATGACCCATTAATTTCTGAGATTTTTGGTTGGTGATTTTGTATATTACCTGGCAGTTCCCTGTGGGGAGCCCCTTACAACCTTATCAACCTAGCTACCGTGGGCTCTGATTGGCTGCTGTTCTGCTGCTGCTTAGGTGGTATTAATTATGTTCAGTAGTAGGGTAGAGACAAGGTGAATTAAAAGAAGGTGGACTCTCAATATTAATTTATCTCACCTGGTGCGAGCCAGAGAATCAGATGGGTAGGGTCAGGAGAGCCTGTGTCAGAGCAGCGTAAGCATTAAATAGTGTTTGTCTTATAAAGAAGAGACGAGAACCGTATACCTGATGAAGAAATCATGCTGAGGGATTTTTATAATATTATAATGGGCTTTGGTAAGTCTGATGTCACATCAAACTCTTAAAAGGGGTATCTTTTAGAAAAATATGCTCTTAACTTTGTAAGGGTTCAAGGAAATTGATTTTTCTGTAAATTGATGTAATTTGTTTGTACTAGGGAATATTCTGTTTATATGTGTGTAGACAGTTGTTGTTTTATACTCAACAAAACTTTAAAAAAGAAGATTTGAAGATACATTTTTTAAACTTCTGCTTTTCAAATAAGAACTATGTATATATGTAAGAAATAATGCGAGATTTGAATGAAGAGAGGAGATGCCTAAAACAAAGAGCATCAGTATAACAGGCGTGAGTCACACAGAGATGGAGAAATGAGATAAGGTGTGGGTCACATGTTTTGGAAAGGAAAACCTTATGTCTCATCACAAGCAGGGAGGGAAGATGGAGTAACAGAAACCCTCAGGAGGGGAGACAGGGAGTTATGAAAGCCCTCAGGAGGGGGGACAAAGTTACTAAAGCCCTGGGGAGGGAAGAAAAAGTTTCTTAAGCCCTTAGGAGGGGGGACAAAGTTACTAAAGCCCTGGGGAGGGAAGAAAAAGTTTCTTAAGCCCTCAGGAGGGGGGACAAAGTTACTAAAACCCTGGGGAGGGAAGACAGAGTAACTGATCACTCTCAGGAGAGAAGGCAGTTGGGGAGGGCTACCCATTTGTTCAATAAATATGGGGAATATATGTTTGAAAATTATTCTTTAATCTTAGTGTAACAAAAGTACTATTGCCTTGGAAGAAGGAATAGCAATTGAGGCATTTTGAATTTTATTAAAATTTTAAATCAATTTTTTAATTCCCATAGGACCATTCCTTCATTTTGCTATGAAAATATATCATTTTAATTTCTATTCTTGGCAGGCCTTAAGTTAATATTGATACTATGTTATATTTTAGATTAATTCCAATGAAATTATTTCAATTGTCAAATGATCTCTTCCTCAATTTGCATTCTTATGTATTGTTATAAAGATGGGGAGGGGATGTAATAATTGTGCTTATTCAAAGAGGCATCTTACACAAATTGAGAAATACAGGCATCATTGTACATCAGAATTAGTCATTGATTTCTGAAATTTAAAGTTTGTTCATAGACATAAGTCAATGGATAAATAGCTCTGCAATACCAAATTTGAAAGAAATTGATTCATTTAGCCTAATATCATTTTAAAGTTAACCGACACTTACTTGTATGCTTCGAAAAAAAATTTCCTATTGTCCTCAAAGATGTGGAGTAGGGGGAGACAACTCTATATAATTATTTAAAACCTACCAAGTGGCTTAAGTGTATGATCATAAGGCTGTGAAATTATCACAATTTTTTTATTTGTTTTCCTGTGAAATGGTGAGTTTGATACAATAATCAGAGATCTAATCGGAGATTAATGGTCCACAGTTAACAGCATAGGCTTATTGTTAACAGAGATTTTAAATGATGTTAAGCGTATCAGGTTTCTGTGGAAATGCAGGTGAATGCTAAGTCGCTGGGTCATATTAGGGGAATAAAACAGACGTAAATGCTGGTTTACCGCTAGTGAACCACCATACTTGGGGATCATCTTCCCATTAGCCATTTCAGTAGTCAGGTGCAGATTCTGTAGTCATTGTTTTAATATTAAAAAATTATAATCACTTTATATCAGAAATTGCTACAAATTATCCAATTGTTCTTTTGCAAAAAATGACAGGATAATTTTTCTCATAATTGTAATTTGATTTTTATTGCACTGATAATAATGCTAATAGCAGTATGGCATACTTTGTAAACGTAACAGCAATTATATATTGCACAGTTACCATGTTGCGACACAGTAAACTGTATTATGATTTAGTAGGGGGTACACGTTTGCAAAAGTCTCAGTTGTTGATACAGTTATGGTCTGCTGGTGTATTTTATTTCTGGAATGCAATGTCATGCCTTTTTTTCCAGTTAAGGACATTTGCTACAAACAAAAAATTGGGTGCATGGATTGGTGTATATATATATATATATATATATATATATATATATATATATTGACTATCTGTAAAGGATGGAAATATTACATTCATGAAATATTAGAATATCAGAGATGTTCTCTCATGTCCCAAATTCTCGCTGTTTTTACTGTTTCCCTATACATGTATTGCTATACAATTTTTCTTATCACTATGTAGGATATTATTATACCCCACGCAACAAGTTGCGTGAGGTATAATGTTTTTGACCCGTCCGTCAGTCAGTCAGTGTGTCAGTCAGTCAGTCAGTGTGTCAGTCAGTCAGTCCGTCAGTCCTGTTTTTTTGTCAGCGCAACTCCTCATAAACCGCTGCACAGAATTTCGTCAAACTTTGCAGATATTTAGGACACAATGTGTAGATGTGCATATTACCAGGAAATTCCGATTCCTTTATTTTTTCTCGGAATTTCGGCACTTTTCAACTTAGAGTTTTGGCCATATCTTGAATATGGAGATGAACAGTTTGTCAGCGCAACTCCTCATAAACCAATGCACAGAATTTGGTCAAACTTTGCAGATATTTAGTACACAGTGTGTAGATGTGCATATTACCAGGAAATTCCGATTCCATTATTTTTCTGGGAATTTCAGCACTTTTCAACTTAGATTTTTGGCCATATCTTGAATATAGAGATGAACAGTTTGTCAGCGCAACTCCTCTTAAACCGCTGCACAGAATTTGGTCAAACTTTGCAGATATTTAGTACACAGTGTGTAGATGTGCATATTACCAGGAAATTCCGATTCCGTATTTTTCTGGGAATTTCGGCACTTTTCAACTTAGGTTTTTGGCCATATCTTGAATATAGAGGTGAACAGTTTGTCAGCACAACTCCTATTAAACCGCTGCATAGAATTTGGTCAAACTTTGCAGATATTTAGCACACAATGTATAGATGTGCATATTACCAGGAAATTCCGATTCCTTTATATTTTCTGGGAATTTCGGCACTTTTCAACTTAGATTTTTGGCCATATCTTGAATATAAAGATGAACAGTTTTCTGCGCAACTCCTCTTAAACCGCTGCACAGAATTTGGTCAATCTCTGCAGATATTTAGTACACAGTGTGTAGATGTGCATATTACCAGGAAATTCTGATTCCATTATTTTTTCTGGGAATTTCGGCACTTTTCAACTTAGGTTTTTGGCCATATCTTGAATATAGAGATGAACAGTTTGTCAGCACAACTCCTCTTAAACCGCTGCACAGAATTTGGACAAACTTTGCAGATATTTAGTACACAGTGTGTAGATGTGCATATTACCAGGAAATTCCGATTCCATTATTTTTGCCTTAAGAGTTTTGCCTTTTATTGAAGAAACTTTCCAGCTAGGTAATAAGAAACTCCACTGGAATCAGCTTTTTATAATGAAATTCTATGTGAAATATTTTATGACCTTAAAAGACCCCTATTGATTTTGAGATCAAAATATTAATGGTTTAACACAAACACACACTCACACACACACCATCTTCGATAGTTCTCTCCCCCCCCCCCCCCCCCCCCCCCCCCCCTCCTTCAAATTGGTGTGCTTTGCCTTAAATAATTTCATAAGTACAGTATATAAACAGATTCATATGACTACATCATAATTTTGTTTCCATCAATTATTTAAATGTGTAAACTGTCATGTGTTGGACATGGACTTACACTCATTAACAAATTGAAATCACTGAGGAATTTAAATAACAGTTTGTCAGCATAATTCCGGCACTGAATTTCCTGAAACTTTGTAGGTATTTCAGAATAATGTATAGATTTGTATATTACCAAGAAATTTTGATTCCATTATTTATCTAGAAACTTCAGCCCAGTTAAATTTGTAACATACAAAGATTTGAATGTCCTTATATGCAAGAAGTTTTGATGTGATGATTTTTTGCAAGTAATGCCCCTTTTTTGAATTATACTGTGTATTTAAAATGCACTGTGCCATTCATTACGTGTTGCATTGTCGAGTTTTGGGGAAGCGTGGGGTATGTGAGCTTGCTCACTTTTTCTTTCATTGAGAAATCTTTAAAAAAAAAAATAAACTTGATGTTGCTAAAATTTTTCACTTTACTTATTATATGAACATAGATTTAATTTCTGTTTTCAGGATTTTTGAAAAAAAAAATGTAGCTTTATGAATTTCAAAATGATGTTTGAAGCCATAAATTTGCTGTAATAATGTTTTCAAATAACTTGTAATAATTTTAAAAGTAGCATGATTATATCTGAATATGTATATGAAAAATTTCTGTTATTTTTTAAAATCTGTCCTCTGAGCAGTTCAGGGGTATTAATGATGAGATATTAAGTTGTCGTGGCATTGTGTGATCTGTCATATTGAAACCCAGAGAACAGATGTGTAGGAAGTAACTATTCAGGGTAATTCACAGTCCCTGTTACAAGTAATAATCATTATCCATATCCTTTTATAATGACTAGGAGTAAATGTGGCAGTATTAAATAGTCCAGATTACAAGCAATGTAGTAATGTAAGGGAAGTAACTCTTACAATTCTCTTTCTAGTTGAAGATGAAGTGAGTGATATCAAACAAAAAGAAACAGTTGAAGTTTCCACAGCTATTGGTAGAAACCATGACCACTCTGGTAACCATGACAACAGTCTCCATGACAAAGTGGCAAACAAAGGTAAAAGGGACATTTACTGTGGAATTTGCTAAACAAATAACAATCTGAGCTTTCATTGAAATTTTTTTTACTGTTAAAATGTTAAATATGAACCGTTAAACAATTATTTTATGGGGTTTTTTTTGCAGATGAAAAGTCAACAGCTGATTCTCAGATAAAGACTAGTTTGTCAGAGGACAAAGAACCAAGATCCACCACACAGAATCCGTCTTTGGACAAAGAGAACTCAGAGAATAGGGTAGGTTATTGTTAAAGTATGCAAAATTATACTGCAATATTGAATAATTTCATAGATTATTTGATAATAATAAAATCGGTTAGAAAGACATTAAAAGTTGGATTAAATGAAGAATTAAAACTGAATTAGTTACAATAAAGTTTGAATTATTTCATAACTGTTGAAGTTTCCTTAAAATTTTCACCTTGTTACATGACAGGAGGAGGTGACGTCTGTTGTGTTGCCATGTAAACAGCCTTCCTGTGTGACCAACAGTAGTGCTGAGGAGGACAAAATCCAGGAGTACCTGAACCGCAGTGACACAGCAGTCATCTACCCCGAACCTGTCGGTGATCTCGAGGCTCAGGAGTCTGAAGCCAATGTCCCAGAGACTGAGGAAGAGGATGAGGAGAGTCGTGACAATGGTGAGCAAGAAATTCAGGAAAAACTCTCCCTCTCTGATCTTTGTGATACATACATCATTGTTCACAGATTCTTATTATGCCCCCTTTGAAGAAGGGAGGGCATACTGCTTTGCTGCTGTCTGTCGATCGGTTGGTCGGTCCACCAACAGTTTCTGTTCATTTTCTTCGCGGAGGTTGCACATATTGAAATAAAATTTGGTATACAGATTTATCATAAGAATAATAGTCAAATTTTGTTTTGGATAAGATCAAGCAATTTTTGACAGATTTATCAGTTATGCCCCTTGGACTTAGAAAAAATCCAATTATTTGCAGTTTCCATTCATTTTCTTCACAGAGGTGCACATACTGAAATGAAATTTGGTATACAGATTTATCGTAAGAGTATCTAGGTCAAGTTTTGTTTGGGTACGATCGAGCAATTTTTGACAGAGTTATGCCCCTTGGAATTAGAAAAATTCCAATTATTTGCGGGGGGGGGGGGGGGGGGGGGAATAAGTGTTTCACAGTCATCTCTTTTCAGATTTGGGGAGGGGAGAGTTTGAATAGATCAGTGATTTTTCTACATTTTTTAAAAGGGGCCTGGGCTATTACAATTGGGAAAAATCATCGACATTTGTATCAAATTGGGAAAAATCAAAAAGCTTGTAAATTAACCTTAATTGGCAGGTAAAATAAAATTTATAAGTAAATGTAACATCATTTATTCAATTTATTTGCTACAAAATAACAAATTAGACACAGTTCTAAATTTTTAACTTTTTTTTTAATCTTTGAAAGTTGTCATTGTGACCAACCTATATTTCCACATTTTTTTTGTTTTGCCATTATATGGTAGACATGAGAGAAAATCTTTCTCGTAGTAGCCATTAAAGATGGAATAATCTGACATGATTTATGACAAATCATTTAATAATCAAACTAATTATTAAAGCTTTCTAATTACCCTAGCTAATCATATTGCAGCAATTTTTCTGCAATACTAGTTGCATGTCGGATGTATAAACAGTTTGATTTTTGTGGAATTAGGGATGCTTGTTGTAGAACTGCTAGTACTAGGATTTACAAATAAAGCTATGTTTCGCCTGTTCACATGCATCTTACACTTTCTTATGATGTATTTACACACAAGTTTTACAAGACCCATGTGTTTTTCTAGGTCTTGTAAACGCACGAAGTAATCTGCTGTTCCTTACTATTATTTTTGGAGTCTGAATGACCGAGAACACTTATAGCGTTTCATTTTAGATAAGTCGTACGTTTAAAAATTTAATATAACAAAAACAACAGCGGTTTTGTTTTGGGAAAAAAGGAGTAGAAATTGGGAAAAAAATCAGTTATTTTTGAGAGGGGAAAGGGCCTATATTCGAAACTAAATTGGGTGTAGAAAAATCACTGTAGATTTATTATAAAAATATCAACTAAGGGACTTCATTTTTCTACTGTTCCTATATAATGTTTTAATAGTATAATTAAATGTAGATTATCAGGTATTTTTATATAAAACCTCTGACAAATTCTTTGTTTTGTTTACAGATGCTGTGCTGGAGGAGGACATTGTCATGAAGTGTATGTATTGCAGTCAGTCCTTTTCCAGAATCCCTGTCCTCAGGGACCACATGAAATCAGCCCACCCAGAAAAACCAGTCAGGTTCCAGTGTCCCAAGTGTGAGGAATCCTTCAACCAGAAGTCCCACCTGGACAAGCACCTAGCCCTACACTCTCCAACCTCTCAGTCCTGTAAAGTCTGCAACAAGACCTTTGCCAATGTTTATAGGCTACAGCGACACATGATCAGCCATGATGAGAGTACAGACCTCCGCAAGTTTAAGTGTCCAGAATGTGGCAAGGCATTCAAGTTCAAGCATCACCTCAAGGAACACATTCGTATACATAGTGGAGAGAAGCCATTTGAGTGCCCAAACTGCCACAAGCGATTCAGCCATTCCGGATCCTACAGTAGTCATATGACTTCCAAGAAATGCTGGGTAGCAGGACCAAAAGCGCACACAACTGAAAGGGTCAACCATAGTGAACCTACAGTCACCTATTCCAAGCCGCTCATCTCCAAGGGAGCCTTTACTCCACCTGTCCACATGCTGACCAATATGGCTCAAGGACCATTTCCCAGAGTACCATACCTACATTTTGATCCAAAAGGAAGCATGCCATTCTTCACTCCCCCACCAGCCTTTGTACCATACACATATTCCATGATTCGTCACAGCTCACCCATCAATCCAATCATCTCTCTCCAAGCCAAGGCAGAAGCCATGTCTCGTCACAGCACAAGTCCATCCCATGTCAACACAGCTCAGATCTCTCCAGATGTCAATTCCAACACTCAGCTTCTTTCCATGCACAAGTTCACATGCAAGGACACCACAACAGTCAAAAAAGAACCAGATTCCAAAGAAGAATCTTCCACCGATTCCAAACGTGAACCCAAAGAAGAACCAATGGAGGAAGATAAGTCTCCTGAGGGCGCAGAGAAAAAGGAAATCCCAGAATCGGATGTCACATCAGATGTGAAGATGGAAGAGAAAGTCGACACTGAGAAAGAGAAGATTCCCTGTCACTTCTGCAGTGAAGTCTTTAACAGTGCAGTTGATCAGCACCAACATGAAAGGTACCTATGCAAGGCCAATAAGGAACTCCTACAAAGAGCATCCTTAAGTGATAGTTCCAGAAATTCTCCATGTAGCTCCGTCTCAGACAGCAGTCACCAGGAAACACCCAACGGCAGCTTTAGTGCTCCAGACACTGACCATGAAGATGACTGTGACTCCAAGAAATTCAGGATGAGGACTCACATAACTGAAGAACAGCTGGCAGTGCTAAAGGCCTACTACAAAGAGAATCCAAGACCAAGGAAGTTTGAACTAATCCGCATCGGGAAGGAAATTGGAAAAGAAAAGAGGGTTGTGCAAGTTTGGTTCCAAAACATGCGAGCGAGAGACAGACGACAAGGGAAGAATGTGCCATATGTTCCCTCCATGGCCCGCTTTAAGCACCATGATGGCTCTATGTGGAAGAATCCAACATCTACTCAGTCCAGCTATATCCCTGTTGTTCCCAACACAACACGAGCACATGGTAAAAAGCTAGACCTACCCTCTACTAGCAAGTCAGGAGAGCAGCCGTTAGATCTCAGTGTCCACAGCAGAACACCTACTCCAGCTCATGCAAGCAGTCCAAGCTCCTCCAATAGCTCATCCAGTGTTCCTCACAAATTCTCATCCTCAAACTTCAGTGGGAAGCCGGACAGTCCATCAGAGACCTCTAAGAAAGAAGGCAGGCTTCAGAGTAGTGCTATCTACAAGTATCTGCAGCAGGAGGGCATGATACCTCGACACTTCTTTGGAAGTTACCTTCCACATCCACCAACTTCAATGTTCCAGCCTTTCCTACAGGCACACATGCTGGCAAATCAAGAAGCTGCCATGAATCATCACTTTGAGCATCGTTCCAAATCTGCTGAACCAATTCCAAAACCAGGCTTCACTGATATCAACAGAAACAGTGCTACTCCAATGGACTCTAAATTTTACTTTGAGCAGAATGGAGACAAGTCTGGTCGTCTGGTGATTGATGAGAGTCAGGACGAGGATTCCAACTGTTCCAGTGACAGCTGTAGTGACAGTGAGCAGTACCGCCGGGCCATGGCAGACGCCACCTTGAACCTCGCCACCCTTGCGGAGGTCAGCCTGTCCCAGAGAGCTGCACTGATGGAGAGTTCACTCAAGTCCAAACGCCTGCGTAAGAAGAGCTGGCGGCAGGTACACAGCTATGTCTGTATCACACGTTTTTAACCTTTTTCCCCTGTAGTTAAAGTTAACACTGAAGACGTGAGGAAATGAGATTGCGCATTTGTTTTCTTTCCTCCTGAACTCTGCATGTATTTTCCACTGTTTCCCTGATATTAACTTATTCAGTGCTCAGTTTGCACTTTTTGTATTCATGAAAGATCCTGTTTTTTATTCATTTGCTTTTCATGTGGAATCTCAGTGCTGCACTTCTTCAGTCAAGCAACATCTACATCGCACTAATTCACTGGTTTGGGAATTGGTAGGGAAGGGGAGAATGGAAAATTGTGTTGCATTTAGATGTTGCTTAAACATTTGTGACACCCTGGTCCCTTTTTTCATGACTTTGGTATTAAATTCCCTATAATAAATAAAAATCCCCAAAAATGCATGTCACATCTGTTTTATGAAGATCATCATATAAAAAGTTTATAACTGAATTTTAATATTAGGGGAAATTGATCAGATATGGTGGTCTTCAGTATTAATTATATGTTTATTAACTTTAAAAAATGATAATTAATACCTAATGACACATACTAATATAAATTACCAGATATTAGCTTAATGTATTCACATTGCATGTTATATTATCCTGTTTTCATTCTGACTTATAATAAAAGTATCATTCAAATAAAAGGTGAAAATTACAGTAAATCAAAATTATAGCAAATAGACTGATTTTCAATGTTAAGTGTTCAAACAAGGGCTTATTTTGATTAAAAAATGTACATGTTGATGATGCTGATGATTATGATGATGCTGATGATTATGATGATGCTGATGATGATGATAATTGTTGACAGATGGAGTCTGAGGAAGCCCAGATGGACCTGGATGATTCCCTACTGGATGAAGATCATCCCCTAAGAAAGAAACGTCGGAGCTGGAAAGGTCATAAGATTGACGCCGAGGAAGGAATGTATGCCTGTGACCAGTGTGCTAAAGTCTTCTCCAAGCAGAGTTCCCTGGCTAGACACAAATACGAGCACTCAGGTGAGGAGATTTCCTAAACTTAGGCACACTACTTGCACAAAATTAAGAAATATATATTACTAGTATTCCTTATCTTAAAAGTAATTCAGATGAATCTTATTTGAAAAAAAAAATGATAAGCCAAAAAATCCCTGAAAACAAATAAAAAAGAAAAGAAAATTGCACCAATGTAAATATCATGCCATACAATATCAAAGTTATGAGTATGTAAATACTATAGAGCATTTAAGTCTGGGTTTTGACTCTGAAGAGTATGCTCCTTTGTTATTTCATGTGTTAAAATTCAGGTGCCAAACTTCGTTAAAACAAAATTATTTGTTGAAGAAGGATATAAACAGACTGGATTATTGATGAGCTAGACCTGATATTTTAAATATTTTCTTCATTTTAGGTGCTCGCCCTTTCACCTGTGAAATCTGTGGCAAGGCTTTCAAACACAAGCATCACCTAACAGAGCACCGCCGCCTCCATTCTGGCGAGAAACCGTTCGAGTGTAAGAAGTGTGGCAAGAGGTTCAGTCATTCAGGTTCCTATAGCCAGCACATGAACCACCGCTACAAGTACTGCAAACCGCTACGAGAGGATGGCTATTCCTCTTCTTAAAGCTAAGTCATTTGGGGTCCTATAGCTAGCACATGAAGCACCGCTACAAATACTGCAAACCACTACAAGAGAATGGCTACTGCTCTTCTTAAAGCTCACCTTCTTCAAGAACTCTGACCACTATAAATATAGTAGTTCATAACTTGATGAAGATATCCTTCCATTGTGAAACTGAAGCCTTGGCTTCCTATTTCTTTCATAAGTTTACTGGGAGTTACTTCCCTTTAATTGCAGTCCATTCTGTGATCAAAGATCAGAAGAGTTTTTTTTTTAATTGTAAGACTGTGCTGCTGCATTGCAAGTAATTTTGACATGTTGTTAAGTGTTTAAGATTGTGACAGAATATTTCCACATTGCTGAGGTATTAACTCTGATGTTTTCTAGCTTGGTTGAATTTGATGTTAAGTTTCCATTCCGCCTTGTTCTTTTATTTGGCTCTTGGCATTCCAGTGAAGTGGAACTGCACAACATTCCTATTTCTATCAATCATACATCATTTCAATACAGCATATTACTGGAATTCTCAGTTTCATAAAATTTTGTCATCATTCATCAATCATCTTATGTTATAATTTCTAAGCTCTCATCTTCTAAGCTAAATGTAGGTCATGTGAAAACATTTCATTTTGAGGTTTATGTACTGAATATTTTGCTTGCCCATTTTACACCACTATGGTGTATATATTGTTCTTGCAATCTATCTCCTCCATGACACATCATTTGAATGGTGTTTGTATATTTGTATGTGATCATGTTTTATAATGAGTTTTATTTTTCGTACCAGATTTTTATTTCTCTGAAGAGATAGAGGGGACCAAATGTTTGAGTAATCTGTATATATCTGAAAAAGCATGTAAGGAGAATTTAAAATGTGTTTCCATGGTGACAATGTTTAGTCCACCAATCAGATTACCTGATACAAATACTCATGTTGTTACTGCTGTTGTTGTGTTAGCTAGTCCCCCATGTGTTGTGATAGTACCTAGTCCCAGAATTCATGTGGTAGAATTTGAATGATCTATATCTTCAGAAATATAGATGTTATTAAAGATGTTACATGTATTATTCATCTCTATAATATTCCTCAAGTTCAAAGAGGTTTTTTTTTTTTTAATCTTATTAAGTATTTTTTGAAGGGAATTGAAGAACTGTATTTATTATTTATTTTTTTTGTATTGTATTAAGCTAGTAGAATAATATAATATATTTTCTCTGAGTCTCTGTCGATGCACAAGGCTGTGCTAGAATACAGAATGTTTCAATGACTATAGTGCTTCCTTGACATCCAACACAGTCACTAAATGGCTAGTCAATTTAACAGTTTACCTGGTAAAAAAATGAACTTTTTTTTCCATTGATATTTTTTAATTTCCCAATTCATTAGTTTTCCTCCACTTTATTTATAGCAGTGGTACACAAAGTGTATGAAATTTGGACAAAGTATGAAATCTTTGTTGTACATTGACTATCAGATGATTCATTGCAATCCTTACAGATTAATTTTTTTGTATAGTTCAGTTAACAGATACTATTTATAGTATATAGTAGAAGTCATTGTTATTTAGAGGTTTGTTATTTAAGATGGGATCTTCCAGTACAATCCACTATCAGTATTTAATGCTCTTCCAGTTTTGAAGCCATTTATGTTTTACCATAAAGTATTCATATCATGATAAACCAATCATCATCATAAATTGTACAAAAGTGAGAGAGAATGTGTATGGAAGCATGTTATTTAATTTTATGTTAAGTTTCAGACTTTTATTACAACTGTAAACTTGAATTAGATCTGTAAGTTATTCTTGGTATATTCTTAGTTTAATGATTGAATTCAGCAGCCTGAAAAGCAGGAAATTCCCTCTATTCAAACAGTTCACATTATACATAGAGAAATTCCTTTAATCAAACAGTTTTCATAAGATATAGAGAAATTCCTTTAATCAAACAGTTCACATAATACATAGAAATCCAAAGAAAAAACAGAAATAAAACACAGGAAGTTTAAAATTGCAGTCTTAATTTTTATCATGTGCCAAAGTTTTCATCCTGCATTTTGTGCCAAATTCCAGTAATTTAGGTCAATAGATCTAGATGTCGTGAATTCTCCGCTGCCAAAGACCCTAACTTTGTTTAGTGTACTCTGATTTCCACCGATTACAGACAATCAAACTAGTTGTTATTTGTTTAGTTTCTTTTTCTGTGTTTTTAACCTTTAATTGTGTATACTTTGTTTTTGGGACTGATTTTCATTTTTTAAGTATTGAAATTGATCAAAATATTTTTTTTAGATTCTTGTTTTTCTTTAGAAGATATGTTAACATGTGGTTATTGAAAGGCGGGATAGAAGCAATAGAATGTACAGTACTAGTCGTCGTAATGTAGCACCTTGTCTCTAGTTAAAGCTCCCATTCAGTTTTGTCCTTGTAGTGTTTGTATGTGTACTCTGATGATAAATGGGAAACTGTGTCAGTATGTTGTCATTTTCTCTTGGTTTTTCAAACCGTCATAAATTGAGAGTTTCTTTATTGAACTAAGAGAAAATGATTGTTTTTATTTCGTAAATTAACAGGTCTGTTGAATAAGGCGAAAGTGATGCTGAGTGTGTGACTTTATGATAGTGTTGATATAAGATTGTATGTTTGTCTGCCTGTATCTCAGGTAGAGGGTGTTAAGCACCTGTATGTGTGTGTCGGGCTTCGCTCTTTTACCCTCAGCATGCCGACATCTTGCCATTACAGTATTAATTCCTCCTGTGTCTTCCTCGTGCCAGTAATATATCGTGCACTGCGCTAAGCAGATATGATTTATTTACTCCGTGTAGAAAGTCCTTGATCCTAGTCATTTTTTTAAAATTTTGATGAATAGCAATATTTTTTTCATTACTGATTTGATTAGTAGTTATCTAGTCCCACTATTGAAAATGTTTTATTATCTAATTACCTATTGAACCACCATTTTATTTTATTAAGTTATGCATTAAAATATAAATACCATACGTGTATGTGTTGAAAATTAAAATGTGCAAAGTTCTTTTTTTTTTAACCATGTTACAGTTTAGGAAATACTCATATTTTTATTCACCAATAAAGTTTCCATAAAAAATACTCAATATTTCACCAGAAACAAAAGCTCTTGAATGTTTAATCAAGATAGCTTGATTCCCTAGTGCCAAACTGGGTCCGCTGATGCCAATAGCCCTTCAGTATTTATAGATTAGCCTGCTGATTTTTTTTTTTTATGTATAGCACAGCTATCGATCTTGCTATTAGCAGCTGAGCTAGAAATCAAAAGTATGTACATAGTATCTCATCTCCGTTTGTTTTAATATAATATCTAGTATGTCCTGCTGTTTGATTGGATAATTTTGAGTGTGTTATGATGTGTGATTGGTTGATATTGAGATGATGATTGGTTTAAACATGAAATTATTCACCAGACATCAGTATTACTATAACTTGCCATACACTGCATTGTTCTTGCTGTTTTTTTCTGATTTTTTAAACATATGATGGTGTTACTACTGTTGCAATAGTAAAATTAAAAAGAATTCATGAAAGCTGCATTTTTATTTACAAACTGAGCTCTTCCTGATTTGAAAACAAGCAATGGCATTAGCCTTTATACATGTGTGTTTATTAAAGTTTTCTATTGTCTGCAATAATATTCAAATTATAAAAGTTTTGTACATGGTAATGATGCAATGCTTGTCACAAGATAGGTGTATATGTTTTATGTGTTGTAATTACCTATATTAATTGCATGAGATGTAAATGTTTGTGTCATTATTTACTTAAGTATCATTGTATCCTGATTTTTTAATTGATTTATTG